TCAGTTAATGCATCTGACATATACCATTAGACTAGATTTGTAAGCACTGACACTGTTTGTCTTGACAAATATCTCAGAATAAACTAGCTAAAGATCCTTTTGTGCCAAATTCTGCATCCAGCTTTTTACGCCTTGCTGTGTATTATCCAGCATGCATAACAGGCCATGAAACATTCCACTTCTCGCCTTATTAGCTCATATATTTTGGATGAGAAAGGATATGTTCATCCAAATTATGGTTTCATCACTGTGACTTAGTGGATGGACAACCTCTACCCCTGCTCCAACCCAATATCTCATCCTAGTTGCAAATCATGGAGGAGAGCAACACTATTTATATGTGGTATAAAAAAGTTAATTAAACAACATGAAGTGATTTAACAGAGGAGCAAACATTTCTGGTTAGATGATGCAGATGATCAAGTCACTTTCTGAAACACCGATGACAACACCACACTCAGTATCAATGTATTCTCCAACTCTTATGTGACACTAAATAGCTAATGCTGAGAACATTCATTCATTTCAACAAATACCATTTGGCCTCTTCCACTAACACAAGCCTTCCATGCACCTCAAGCTCTTTTTGCAGTGGTGTTGTAGCACTGCCTACACCCCAGTGTGAATTCATAGACATTAGGGTAACTCGGCAGTTTAACATCATACCTTAGACACCATTTTTCTTGATAATTTTAGCAGTAGGCTCAGTAATACACGAATCTCCCAGTAGTAAGTTCACCAGTCACTTCATTATAAAAGACAATCACAAACTTAAAAATGCAGATGAGAAAAAATATTCCAAAAAAAAGGCATAAAAGTGCTATTTTGAGATAATGACAATGCATTGTAGGACTGGTCAAAGTGAATAGCATTACCAGACAGATAGGCACCGTCCGTCTAGCTGAGCATCCAAATCACAGCGGGTAATAAACAAAACACAGAATCACAGAATCACAGAATTGTCTAGGTTGGAAGAGACCTCGAGATCATCGAGTCCAACCTCTGACCTAATGCTAACAAGTCCTCCACTAAACCATATCGCTAAGTTCAACATCTAAACATCTTTTAAAGACCTCCCCTTGAGTCTGAAGTCTACGGAGAAAACAGCACCTTTCCTTGGGTATTGTGTGACCCTTTTATCAAAAAGACAAGGACTGAATACAGTTCATAGAACAGTTTGGGTTGAAAGGGACATTTAAAGATGCCCAACCTTGTTGCATTGGGCACTTGAAGCATTTCACTCTGGTGTTCACCAGAAAGAAAACAGATTTTTTGTTGTGTTGTCCTAGAAAGAACCAACTGCAACCCTTTAACAGATTTACTCATGCCATGCCTTTTTTAATCAGTTTGTCATAGATTTGCCCTGGTCACTCAGCAGGGTGGAAGAGAAGCCTCTGCAGGTGGGACCTAGACTTTTGGTACTGTAAAATGTTGGAGATGACACATTTTTTCCTGGGAATAATCTGAAAGGCTAAATGAGACGCAAGTGCATGCAACATGAAGAGCAAAATCTGAGTGGGTACAGAGTCGAGGCAGCACCCAGCCCTTCATCCTCCCCCAGGCACATCCTCAGATGCCAGGCTCAGCTGGTGCGAGCACCCTGTCCTCGTGCCCCGCTGCTGCTGCCCGCCAGCTCGCCGACAAAGTAAAGCCCAGCTGGAGTCCTTGGACAAATTGCACTGGCAATATGAGACATGTTAAAAACATAGAGACTGCCAGTGATAAATCTGTCAGGATTAGGATATGTGAGGTCTGAACGAGGCTGGTGGCAGACCAAATAAGCCCTTATGTGAATTCAGCCTTTTTAAAACAGAATTTCGTGATCAACAGCATCGACGGCAGCTGACAGTGGAAGCAGCAGATAAACACAGGCCTGGGCTGCTGGGGTTGCTCACATGTGGTTGGAGATGCAGCTCCTGTGCCATGAGCAAGGTGAAAAGCAGCCGAAACGCAGCCCATCAGCCATTAGGCTGAGGATGCTCTTTGTGGCTGGATGTGCCCTTCCCAAAAATCTCAAGGAAAGCAAGAGATGAGAAGCCACCAGCTGCTCACCAGCGAACTCGAGAGTTAACGATGTGAAAATGGATGGAAAAGCAGGTATAATGTCCTCAGCTGGTGTATTTTGGCTGGGATCTGTGGAGCCCTGTGGACGCGGAGAGCTTGTGCCAGGCTATCTGCAGGGGAGCTGATAGGAATAATCGTCAGACGAGAAGGTGAGTATACACAGACCATAAATATCTGCCACATAAGGTCCAACAGTTTGAAAGAAGACAGTGTTTGAAAATGAGTTTGAAAACAGGAGGCATGTTGGAGAGATCAGTGTTAAGGCACGATACAAGGAATGTTATCTCCTCCTGTAATTTATTTCCATTACAGCCAAGGCAGTTGCAACCAGTAGCAAAAATAAAACCTGGCAGAAAAGTTATTTTAACTGAAGGTGAAGAATTTTGGACTGCAGTTTTAGGGTTTTCTTTTTCTTTTTCTTTTTTTTTTTGCTGTTCTTGCAGCTAACACCTAATATCTAAAAGAGATTTACAAGGCTCCCCACACACACTAATACGGACTTTGCCTTTACACACCATCACCTCGTTGTCTGCCCTGTAGATAGATACACAAAAGCCTTGACTCTGCAAAAAACTTACACAGACATTGAATTTTAGGCATTTGTCAAAACCTATAAGACTAGATCTTAACCTTCCAGACGTTATTCCCCTCTAGGATAACAAAGCAAAACCAGCTTTCCTATCTTGTTGAGGCCGGTACTTCAGTCAGTTTTCCATGTCATCCATGGGGTCCTTTCAGGGCAGCAGCCAAGAGCTGGAGATTTTGGCAACTGGAAAATGCAATTGTGAAACCATAAAAATTGGAAAGGAAACTCACTCTGAAAGGGAGAGGCGAGGCCACTTTTACTTGTCTAGCTCGTAACCTGGTAATTTGTGTTTAATATGAGAGCTGTCATGTTATGTGTGCCTCTTGCCTTTTCAAACAACCGCATCTCAAAAATGATTTTCAAGGCGTATCACAATTAAAATTTCCGTCTTAATCTCTAGGCGTGTGTTGCTGCAACAGTCAGGACTGCCCTGGCAGCACTGCAAATCATGGACACCAGGCCTGGAGCAGCCACGGCAGTGGAGCCAGCTGAGGTAGAAGTCGCAGGGCTTCAAAGCACCCGGAGGAGATGCGTGCCAGCACAGCTAAGAGGGCTTTTCATCACTGGGCAGCTCCGCTGGGTCTAGCAGTGTGCGGCTGTAACTTTCAGCACCTCTGCGACCAAGAAAGCAGCACACACACGCTCTGGCAAGGCTCAAGCTGTTCTCTACTTCCCCAGGAAAAAAAAAAAAAAAAAGGCTACTTGCTGAGCACACTGGCTACAGATCCAAAAGAGCAAGTTATGGACATGTAACGGAAAGGAGCAGGAGGGATGTAGCAAAGCAACCGGAAAATCCGACTGAGCTGCAAGGGTCAGTGAGCACCACTGCTGCTTGACACCTAGCATCAGGACGGGAAACTGATGTACACTTCAGAGAGCTTAATTCATCAGCGCAAATGTGACCTTAGAGACTCAGCTTGGCTCTTAGGGAATCCCAGAATACAGCCGATGGGGTTTCCACCGCCGCTCACCATTTCTCATCTCAATGTCAGATCTCAGCCACCCACAGCGTGCCTTTAATTTTATTAGAAGGTCACTACTTTGGGGTATGTTCATTTCTTCATTTCTTGGAGCCCCTCATCCCCAAACCTTCCCAGGCAGGTAGCCAGGTGTACCCCATCCTAGCGTGCTTCCATCACATGGAGGGGCTGGTCTGGCCACAGCAGCTCCCATGGCCAGGTCAGGACATCGATGCTCAGCCCACCCAAAGCCACCCCCTGCCCACACAGTGGGGACAGCCGCAGGGGCACCATGGACTGATGGCTCTTCATCTACCTGAGACTTTCTGCAGCCTTTCTCCCCACCACACTGGCTTGGTGTAAGGAAAGAAATACAAATGCTGAAGGACAGAAGTTAGGATCCCTCACAGAGGCAAAAGTTTCAAGTCCTGTTAATCAATTCCTGTAAATCCCAGGTTAATGCATCACTTGCTCTGCCTGTCCTAGGATGTCAGTGCTCTGGCTGACGTGTGGCCAAGCACACCTCTGCCTCTCCCCTAGCAAGCCCAGAGCCAAAGTCCCGGAGAAAGTCTCCGTGCATACATTTGGAGACCAACAAACATGTCCAAAGTTTAACGTTGCAATGAAAAAAAGTCCCAAGACGAGTTTGCAGGAACACGCAGAGATCTGCGTGCTCTTCAGCGCTGGGAAAGATATTTATACGAGAGGATCTCCCTCCCTCTCTCGCACGAAATATGCATTGTCAGCTGCGGCTACAGGGAGAGGACAGGGCCCGGGGCTCCAGCGATTCCCGAATGAGCCCCAGGGCTGCTGTGCAGAGCCAAGTCGCTCTTTCTGGGCTGTGAGAGGGGATCACCGGGCTGCAAACCAATGCTCCAACCGCAGCCAGTGCTGCCTGCCTGCGCTCCCTTTGAATGAGCGGGGCTGCGAGCAAACTTTTCTCCGGCAGGGCAGCTCGCACCGGCTGCAAACAGGCTCCAGACCCCAAAGGAGCCCCCGCACCCCTCACCCCGCACCCCGCATCCCGCACCCTGCACCCAGCCGGGGGCTGCCTGCGGGGCTCTGACCGCTCCGGGACCGGGAGGGGGGGTCCCAGGACGGGCCCCCAAGGGGCAGAGAGGCCTCTAGGGGAGGAAAAGAGGGGGACAGCAAAGCGAGGAGGGCTCGGGAGGGGTGCGGAGAGCCCCCCGGTGCAGCTCACGTTGTCTGGGAGGCTGCCGGTGTCCCCGTAACACGGAGCGTGGGCTGAGGAAAGGGTTTACGAGGTTTCCAAAGCTCTCGGTGTGGACGTCCAGCTCTCGCTAACTTACCTTGGGCTCTGGGTGATGCTACGAGGAGCCAGCCGAGGCTGAGCAGCAGCACGGCGAGCTGGGCTGGGGGGCGCGGAGGAGGGAAGCGCCGCTGCCCCGCACGGAGCCGCTTTGACATCTTAGCCCGGACTGAGGGAGACAAACTTTCATCAGCTGGGGCTGGAGAGCAGCACCATAATATACAGTTACGGCGAGGAGCGAGCCGGGACTCAGGATGTGAGAGATTTCCTGCATGCAGTTAACTCCCAAACCCCTCCTGCTCCTGCCGCACGGGCTGCCGCGGGGCTCCGCTTTCTTAGGGGGGGGGGAGAAAAAAAAAAAAAAAAAAGTTGCTTGGCTTTTTTTTTTTTTTTTTTTTTCTTTCAGAGAGTCGTGTGTGTGTGTTTTTTGGTTTTTTTCCCCCCTTTTTGGCAGGCGGGATGCGCTGACCGTTGCAGCCACGGAACAAATGAGGCCGCCCCCGCCGGGTCCTAGCGCCCGCCGCCCCCAGCGCCGAGCACCCCCCCCGGTTACCCCCCCCCCCCGGGATCCCCCCCCCTCTCCCTACACACCCCACCCCGAGCCAAGGTTTCCCCATTTTCTGCTGCACACGCAGCCCTGGCTGCTTCCTCTGGAAAGTCATCTGCATGTGTTCGAGCTCAGCGATTATTTATTGGTTTCCTAATTATTCCTGGTGCCGCCAGAAACTTATTTTATATTGTTTTTTTCAAAAAAAAAAAAAAAAAAAAAAAAGAAACAACAACACGCCCACAGAGTTGCCAGATGCATTTTTTAAAATCTTCCTCATTCAAATTATCATTACCGACTGTCTGGGAGAATAACCAAATACAGATTATCTAATCCTTGGTGTACCACCAAAATACATATAATGCCCACATGTTGTGCAGAATGCTGCAGAGCAACCAAAAGAAAGATCCCAGTCCTGGAAACCCTTATTGTGCAGTTTTGCTTTTTATTCAGTGAGATTCTTCCCCAGTCTCACTTTTTGGGCATTGATACTTAGTTCTGCCTATTGACCCCAAGCTCCTTGTACCCAGAATAACCGCTGAAGGTGGCCTAATAAGGTTTTTGGACATCTCAGGCACAACAGCCATGTGATTCTATTAAAAAAAAAATAAAAAATTATTATTATTTGGGGTGCACATATTTGTGTCTGTTCACAGTGATCTGGACGATGCCTTCCCCAGCTCAGGCGAAACTCAGCGGATACAAAGTCCTGCAGTTCCCAAGCCAGAGCCCTGCGCTGTGCTTGACTCAAGCCATTGAGCCCCTGCTGGGCTGCCTGTGGGACAGGCACGTCCATGGGATAATAGTGGTAATGTCAGGTCATCTTGGAACAAATACACCTAGAAAAGAGCTGGGCCTCCTATCAGATGCTTTTCCCCACAATTAAAACGTTTGTTTTCTTCCACCTCTCCCCTCAGCCTTCCACCCCAGACCACTCACCCCAAGTTGCCCTCAATTCTGAACGCTGTCTACATCTATCCCTCGTTTCTTATCTTGGCAGCATGGATTTTCTTCATCACACCCCTTCCTGGGCAACCCCTATCCTTGTGAGCAGTTTATGTATAGCCTTAATTACCAAAATGCTAAATTATCCCTGCTTCCCCAGGATCAATTACATTTCTGTAAAAACATCTAAACTCAGCAATGTTTAATCCCTAAAAATATAAACTAATGAACTCCATTGACTATCTTATTAAGGACATGCATAATCCACACAGCACACTGGTTAAAAATGTGAAAATTAAACCAGAAGATTTGTTTGTGGCAGGCCACCATAAATGCCACGTAGACATTTTTACGCTTTGAAGCTTTTTTTCCCCCACTTAAAAAACAAACAAACAAAAAACAGTCAAAGGGGGCTACGGACTTTTACATACAGTTTTGGTAATCCCACGTAGCTTTTCACTTAAATGGCAGTATTTTTATTTTGAGTGACTATATTTGCTAACAGAGAATGTGGAGCCAATTATATCTTGGTCATTCACTAGCATGAATGAGCTAGATATTATCAATGTTCCTCCTCCTCCTCCCCCAAAACTTAACAAGAAAAGAACACTTGCATTTTACTGCACTAATTTTATGGGGTTGAAGTTGATAAATTGATAGTTTATCAGAAAACAGCCCCAAATACTTTATTAACAACATCCTTAAAGGAATGCTACTGAATTGTAGTTACTCTAACTCTGAAGAACAACAGTACATTTTCACAGCAGTCTCAAAACTCTTTTGTTGAAAAAAGAAAGAAAAGTGAAGTTAATCTGAAGTGCCCCTGCCTCACTATGTGCCTACGAGAGACCAAACCTTGACTTTTCATTTCTCATGTCAAACCACCTCCCACAATTAGTTTTACGAGGCTTGGCTTATCCACTTCAGAAGAACAAGGCTGAGTTTCCCTGCAGGAAATGAAAATTGCATCCAGGTTGTGTGGCTGCTTCAAAGGGGGCCACAGCCCCGATCCTGCAGGTTGCTCCCGCGGGCGATGGGCTGTCCGCTCCTCCTGCCCAGCTTTGTTCTTTAGCGCTCTCGGGGACGGGGTGTGGGGGTGGCTGTAGGGGGTTTCACTGTCTGAGATTTTATTTACCTTTGTATCTTTTGCTACTGCTTCATTAAGGTTTCTTTCTTTAATTCTTCCTTCCTTCCTTCCTTCCTTTCTTTCTTTTTCTTTTTTCCTTTTCATTTTTGTTCTCCTTATCTTCCTTAGCATAGGTATTTAGTTTTTCTTTACTTCAGCCACGCGTAGCTTTTCTTTCCAAAACACACTCTGCTCTCTGTCCTACAATAGCAGCAGGATGTAAACAGCTAAATAATCTTTTCACTCCTCGTTTTTATCTCCCTGGGAAAGGGAAAGCTAACACATGGCCATTTCTTCCCTATAGATATGGGCAGAGGGTGGCATATGCTGGCAGCTTGGTTTGTGCTCGGCTTTAAGGCTCAGCCTCTGCCCTGCAGGAACAGCAAGCCAGGCACCAGCTAAAAACCCCAAACCACAGATCCCTCTGCTGTACTGTCTCTATGATTTGGGATGTGTGGACGAAATATCCCCCCCTGCAGCTGTGGGTCACTTGTGGCTAGAGGAAAGCCTCAGGAAAGGAGAGGCGAGGATCAAGGATGGCCGAGGTGCCATCATGGAGCCCTCTTCGGGCATGTCTGTCAACTGCATCGCCTCTGTTTATTCTTCCCCTGCTTCCCCTTGAAGTTGTTTGGAAACACTTAACACTCCTCCTTCAGCAGGAGGCTGAGAATTGGTAACATCCATGGGGTGCTTGGCAATTTGGCCTTACTCTTGGTCAGCCCCGAAGCAGGGCCGCAGGTAGGCCTCTGTTTCTCTCCAGCCGCCATCCCTGCCCCTGCCTGGTGTCACTGTGTCACTGTAAAAGATCGGGTTGGAGGGGCTTAACCCTCAGCTTGCATTCACTTTGATAATATGTTGATGTAAGAAGTACACTTGATTTTTAACAGTTCATATTTGACTGTATCAAAATACAGGCACTCGGCCTCTGGTTATCAAATTACACGTTCAGGCGGGAGCTTTAGTTCACAGGGCACTGGAAAGGTCAAGTCAGAAGAGAGCCATATGGAAAAGACAAGTATGGAATAAAGTATGGAATAACTTACCTGGAAACAAGCATAACATGAGGGCTTGCACAGACAGCTAAAAGAAAGGAGATACACTGAGGGAAACATCAACTTCCATCAGTTTCCCCTTGGTTAAAGAAGAAGGAAATTTTAGAAGGAATTAGGGGCTGCTGGAGACAACATGAATAAAAAGAAGGGGGAGAATAAATTGAAAAAAAAAAAAAAGTAAGAGTGAACATGTTTTAAAAACTTCAGACTACGATACCATATGCTCTGGTGACATTAGACAGGAGGTATAAACAGAACTTTAGAGTATAGACAGGAGTAACAAACTATATGGCACTTGTGAGGTGGACTTTGGTACACTATGGAGCATAGAGTACTAAAATATGAAGAAAAAAGCTGTGTTTGCTACCCTTCTGTGCTACAGCAGGAATTGCATCCCTGCATTATAGCTGAAGTTAATGAAGCGTGGATAAACCCTTCAGACAACTGAAAGATTATTTCAAGGGGAGAGGTTCTGGTGGGCAGAAAGCACCTCTGTAACACTGCTCTCACATCTTCCCCGATCAGCCGTGATCTCCTTTTGGATATCCAGGAAACCTCACTGTAATCACAGCATCGAGTATTATCCAGAAATCTGAGTCCTTTTATTCCCATATGTGCCAAAAGGCATGAAGACTTGTCTGGGCTTAGCTACAGGGATCTACAGTTTTGAGGCCTCCAGGCTGAAGTTTTTGCTTTGTACTGTAAACAAAACAAAACAAAAAAACCTTTTCCCTTTGAAATCTGTGTGTCCCCTAGCCAGCTGCTGAGACTTTGTGTCTCCAGTCTTCCCTCACTTCATTAACTTGCTGCAAAATCAAGATCCTGCTGAATTGTGACTGCAGTGGCAGATTGCAGTACTCTGTAATTAACAGGCAGAGATATGGCATAGTACAGCCTGACCCTTTGCCACAGAGCCTTTCTGCAGACCTCTGCCACAATGCTCGGACACAAAATAGCATGCTCCCAAGAATAGCATCCATCAGCTCTGCACGCTGAAATGAAATACTTGCTTTATTGCATGGATTTGAATAGTTTGCTGTACATACTTGGGAGAAGTTGCATTCTCTAGATTTTCTGGTCTGGGAGGGCAAGTTTCCATCCTCCGTATCTTCCGGGAGCACGCATTCCTGCACGCCTTGATGGGCTGTCATGCTGCCCCAAGCTGTGCACAGAGCCTGCAGCAAGGCGTTAAGCCCATGAAATTCAACGCAAGGTCAGCAATCCTACCTTCGTGCTATTGATATATTCCTACGTTCCTGCTTGCAGGTCCTTGCTTTGGTCATGGCCTTTTTCACCTCCTGCCCCAAAAGTCCCACAATGCCAAATTCATCCGAAATTTCTGCCCTGGAGCTCTGCCCTTTGCTGCTGCATGCCCTGCTCAGGCGAGCCGGTGGGCACCCAGTGCCACTAGAGCTCAGCCTGATTCCAGGCATAGCCTCCTCCTGACCTCTTTAGAGGACCAAGGATTTTCTCAGTATCTCCTCTGCTGCACACAAACTTGCAAAGCTGGGTTTGGTCTGGTTGAGCAGAGACTCCCTCCTGAGACAAACCCGTGAGCTGTTTGAAGTAACACGGTTCTTTGTGCTGGCAGGGAACCACGAACAGCTACATCCCATGGAGAGGTTACAATACTGAATTCACCTCATCACTGACCGCAGAACCCCAGAACTGAAGTGCTTCTAGGTACGTTTCTTTTTAGATACAGAAGAAACTAAACCACCCTCACTTTGTGTGAATGCTAAAGCATTATAACATGATCTTCAAATATAAGTAAAACTGACATGGCCATCCTGAAGTTATTTACATATTTAATAAATGAGACAATAATTGTAACCTGTTTCAGGGATAAAATGTAATTTGTGTTTGGAGAACGCTGCCAGCTAGCATGACTCCCACCTGCAAGGGGGGCAGCGGGGCCGGTGGCGAGTGACACGTGCTCGTCACCCTCCTCTGCCTCCCTGCTCTGCCCAGTTTGTCCTACCCCCCCACTGCAACACTGTTTTGGAAAACAACTCCTTTTCTCTAACAAAGCAGGGGAGTAGGCTCAGCTTTAATGCTGATTAAGCTCTATATACTACTTTATAGGGAAACTACACAGAGACTGTTGCAGCCTGCTGTAACAGGGCCAAGGGTGAAAAAGCCAAGAGGAGCTCAAGCGAGAGCAAACAAAGAAACCCACCGCTCCAAGGATACAGGACCTTAACAACAACAACAGCAACCCCCTAAATTCTTCAGCAGTTAAAACACAAAAACCCATATCTCATGCGCTCCCTCGTTACATTCTTTTCCTGTAGCATAAACCCTCGGTCATGCAAACACAGAGCTCTGCGAGCACGGCCACCCCCGGCAGCGGAGCCTCCCCGTGCCCCAGTGCTTATCTTCATAAATCAGAGAGGGGGTCCAGCGTGGCTGTGCAGCCCCGAAGTGACACTTTTCCTTCTGATGCTGCCATTTTCCTGGCCAAAGCTATTGTTGCAACTGGTGACCCTCACCCTCCCCTGCAGCAAAGACACGTGGCACTCTGGGGTAGTCGATGTTACCAGGTGGGAATTAATATTCTGCAAAATCATCGTTTGCACTCTCTTCTAGTTTGGTGTTCTGCTCATGATCAGCCCCTGGTTACTGCACCGAGAAGGGAATTCTGCTATGTGGGAAGAAGCAGCAAGGATTTTCTGCCCAACAGCCTGCTATAGAAGATCCTGGAAAGTCCAAACCAGAGTAATGTGGCTCTAAGTTCTGGGCATCCAACATCCTCTCCCTGAGGACCTGAATACCTCCTTCTTTTCTCATGGCAGAAAACACATCATTTTAGGCTTTGCTACCTATTTCAGTAGTCATTTATAGAAGTGATAGTTCTGCACCAGAATCCTTGTATCAGAGAGAACAGTTCTGAGAGCATGGCAGAAAAGTTTCCTGCACTACAAATCTTTTAAATATGACAAATAACCCATTAAATAAGTTTTTCTGACTTCAGACCAGACTTTGAGAACAAGCACTTTGATCCATTGCTTCGAATTTCACTGTCTCCCTGAAAACAAAAGAAAAAAAGGACCACAAATTTTTACATGTCTCACAAGAGGATAGTATTCAACTCAGACCAAAAATTATGAAGTCATATATTTTTAACATTCCTGTCTAGCCCTCTGCAAACCACAAAACAATGCAACATCCATCATCATAAATGCTGGGACAGTAAATTAGAAGGACAGCATATTTTTGGATGCTTTTAAAGAAAAATAAATATTTCTAATTGGAAAGTTGAGAGAAATCATTAAAATGTACTATGGTATGTATCATGGGAGAATGAAATCAATCGGGTCTTAATCTTATATTATTTATGAAAGGAAGAGTGAAACAGAGCTCTTTTTATCATAGACATTTTCTGATTGTTATACTCTGATGCAAAACTTTCATTTGCTTTGGGTCATAAACACAGCACGTAAAATCTCTCTGAACTAAAACAAATAGAAGTAAAATGCTGGTTTTGTAATATCTGCTAATAGTATTAGATAGAACAGTCAGCCATAATTATATATCTTTCATGCAGTTTAACTTATGCCATTACATAATTAAATTTAGACCAACGAGCCCTCAAAATTATATTTTTACATAATAACAAACACAAAAATTATATATGTGCTCCCAGTAGCATTACAAGTTAAGTATATATTTGGCGACACTTTACAGTAAGTGGGTATTCATTACTAATTCCTCTGGTATTCATTGTAATAACATTAGTCACGAAGAACTAATGTGGATATAATATGTAAGAGCTGGTTTATTTCTCTATAAATCCGCAGTGTAGAATAGACTGGTAATTCCCTGTCGCTGACATCACTGCACTGTTGTTGAAGACCGCCACCAGGGCAGGTATTCAAACCAGGCTGTGCTGTTGTCATTGCCTGCCTGGGCAGCCACGGTGAGCATCCAGCTCGTTATTTATCCATGGAGAGGAGCATCATCCTTTACTTGTTGTTCTTCCCCCAAATCATGGCACATGTCTGTCTCCAGCCCATCGCCCTCCTACTTTTTGCAGTGAGGACATCCCAGCTACAAGAAACAGACTTCTCCTGTTCCAAATACATGTGTTGTTTTTTTTCTTGTTTTTGTTTTTGACTCTCTGGCCACATTTACATATTACAATTCATTAAAATGATTGCTGAAGGACCTATCCTTCAGGCACCAGTATCAGATAATCTTCTGATTAACCCAGTTTCGGACTGACATCATTCCCATGACCACCCTTTTCGTCACAAACTTCATTAACTTTCATCACATCACCCCAGAAGAGAACACAAGGAGTTCACTTATTTTAGAGAATGAGAAATTGAAAAAACCAACCAACCAACCAAACAAACAAACAAAAAAAACCACTTTGAAATAAAATTGGAAGTCTAACAATTTCTCAGGTACAACTTCATGAACTGCAAGAGCTTTGCTCTTAAAAGGTGTTGGATAGTGTATTATCAGATGACCCAAGTGAGAAAATGAAGCTAATGCATGTTTAAAAAATGCTGCCATTTTCTACTTGCAATTTCTGAAGTGATGTGCAGCCCTGCAGTAACTCTAGAACCATGAAGCAGTCTACGTTTAATAAGTGTTTGCATAAAGGTCTTCCTATAATTATATGTGTACTAATGTCTAGTCATTGCAGGGTACTGTAGAAGGTAAAAGTATTTAAAACATGAAGTCTAACAATAGATCACTGTGACCAATTTCTAATAGTAATAATAAAAAATCTCTGCAATTAGGGAGTCTTTTTCATAATCCTATCTATGCAACAAGAACCTCAAGCAGTTTATTCCACTTTTCCTCTTTACTAATTTTATATAATTGTGTGTACCATGAGCACATTTGTGCAGTTTCTTCTCATTTTTTAATCATTCTGCAGCTGCTAGGGAGATGATACACCTCATTATCTTATTCTGTGGGTCATCTAAAATGGATATTAAGTAATTCTACCTCCTACAGCTTTGGTAAGGAGCCAAGGAGAACTAGGATAAGTAAGACGCCTGACAGAAAAATGGAATGTTTTTTTATTTTCAATGTAGAAGTGTGTTTTTACATGACATGTTTTTTTTTTTTTTTTTCATCAGTTTGGCAGTTTTGCCAAAGCTAAACACAGAGCTAAAGAAAAAACCAGGACCTCCCCAAACACTTCCAGTTAGTTCAGCTGGGAAACAAGTTTTGCTTGCAGAGCCAAACCAGAATGATGCCACTATCAGCAGGCAGGCCAGCACCACCCAACAAGCAGCACGGGCTCCTCTCTCTGAGCAAGGACTTTGGGAAAGGATTTTTGTGATTGTGATTTCAGTGGTAGATATGTATTTAAATCAAAGCTTGATGTGTATTTGCATTCCTATATTAAACTTTTCTACAGTACATTTCAGTACCGTTTTTTATCCTAATGCTTTTCTTTATGCTCAGGTGTCCTTCTTGCATTTCATTTGTGCCCCTGCTTTCTAATCGCCTTTCATTAGGAAGTTTGCAAATTGGGAATGGCCTCAGAGGGGGCTGGGACTTCACAGCCCCCCGTTGCTTGGTGCTGACCCGTGGGCACGACCGCGGGGGAGCACAGAGAGAGCACCTCCCAGGCATCCAGCCCGCTGTAACCCAGCTCAGCAAGAAGCGTACTGAGAAATAAACTACACAGGCTGAAGTCATAGAGCTTGATGAAATATGACCTTGTGGGACAACCCTGTGTACTGATCTACTCTGTCAGTGAACAAGTGGCCAGTCAATGCTCCCGGAAAGACAATTACCCACCCATCAAAGCACACAGGCATTTTTGTCCTTGGAGTCAAAGGAGCAAACATCTTTGCGGAAGAGGCAAGCTGGGGTATTTTTGGCCACAGAGCTCTTGCTGTGATGGATGTATCAGGAATGGATTCCTCCAGAGAGAGCTGCCAGAAACTTTATCCCTGCTTTGCTGTGTTGTTTTCCTTGTAAATCAGCCCTCTCACAAAAAACATTACGCTGACATGGCCAATCCCAGATACTAAACAACAAAACTCCGAGCAAGCCTTACCCAGACAGTCTCCTCTTCTATCTGACCAGCTGAGTAAACTTGAAGAAGTAACTAATGACTTGCATACACGTACACAGGAAAATATTTGGGTTTAAAATAAATCCCCAGAATACTGTAACCCTCAGCGCTTTACATTACAGTGACTTTCAGCCCTTAATGATGTATTGCTGTCAGATGAAATTAATATTGCCAACGTGGAGACAAATGTGTCTCACACACCTAAACCACTGCGTGTCCCCCATGTGGGCACCATTTTGAGCAAGGCGCAACTTCAGCCCTACTTTGATGCTTCTGGTTAGGAGGGAAAAGGCTGAGGTGGTGAGCCTTAACATGTTGAAACCATCTCAGCATTTTACCCTGACTAGAACTCGTTAACACTGCTTCGGATGCACGTACGTATCAGTATGAGAAACCAGGAAAGTCAGTGAGGAACTGAGGAACAAGCGGCAGTGGCTGTCACCTGAGTGTCAATCCTCGTGCAGTTGCACCAGCAAGAAAACGCGTCCCCCGTGAAGACACACAGCATGGGCTGACAGATAGAGAACCCATGCCCAAACAGCATCCAAAGAGAAGGAAAATTCCAGTATTTAGCAAATGTGGGTGATCTCCAGCACAGGTTGGGGAGTTGTCTGTGGAGCGTACTGTCCAACGGTGAATGTATTCTTTCCTTTGAAATGCCTGAGAGTCTGAAGTGAAATTACGTCAATTTTGTTCCTAGCTCTAAAGTTTATTAAGTTGATGCCTACTTGTACAGGGCTAAGCCTGTGAGGCCCATGTTTTTCTGAAGTAACATTTTCCTGTATAGTCTATTTTCTATTACAATGACTTGATTGTAGAACTGAAATGAATGTCAGGATTGTTTGCTGGATACATTACCAGATACCTTCTTTTCTGAGGCCCAGTAAGAGAAATTAGGTTTGCAACAGAGATCATTTTTGTTATTTTGAAGTGAAGGTTTCATATCATATAAAGCATTCCCAGACAGTGATTTGCATTAGGCATTTTGTTCACTAGGTGTACTTCCAAGGTTATTTATGGGAGACAATTCCCACCTCAAGTTGCCACATATTTGTCCTGTAGATTTTGAAAGCTGCATTTAGAGAAAATAAAAAACATTGCGAAATAACCTTTCTCCAAAGCCAAAAGATTTTGTGAACAGCACATTAAGACAGAGAAGGTGGAGCTACCCATGAGCAAGGTGACACGAGGATGCAGCAAGCCAATGCCGTACCATCTCTGAGGATGGCCAGCAGAAATGACAGGAAACCAAGCCACCCTTGCCCCAGGGAGCCTGCTGACAGGGTTGCCAAGGGGCAGAAAGGAAGCTGACCCGTGTCACGCCTCATTTCAGTTGCTCTCATGTTTCCTTTTCTCACCAGGATGTAATGGATTTCTAAGAAGGATCAGCTCCTCTGTTCAATGAAAAGAGGCAATGAGCAAAACTGGAGCACAAGAAGTTCCAGCTAAACATCAGGAAACACTTCTGTACTGTGTGGATCAGGGAGCCCTGGCACAGGCTGCCCAGAGAGGGTCTGGGGGCTCCTCCTGGAGAGCTTCAAACCCACCGGGACCTGGGGCTGGGCACCCTGCTCGGGTGGCGAGGGACCTGAGGGATCTGAGGTCCCTGCCCACATCAGCCAGGCTGCGGTTCTGTGATTCCCAGCCAGACGATGAGAAACATGTCAAATATGTATGTATGTATTTACATAGGCATGTAAAATTATATGGGCATGAGGGATGGATATATTTGGGCAGTTAGATTAAGATGGTTAGATTAAGACCCATTTCTCTAGTTTCTTGGCATTCTACAAGAAAAATGTTGCATTTCCTTGTAAAATACTCTTTCATTCCCAACCAGGAAGGCTCCTGGTCTTCTGCTCTGCCAGAGAAGAACTAGGAGAAGTTTCAGGGCTCTCCTCTCCTGTTGGTATAGGATGTCAGTCCTACACCAGAGAAAATCCCTGACCCAGGCTGCTTTTCTTCTCATTCAGAGGATAGGGACCAAAGACCTAACATCTTGTCTCCATACCAAAGTGCCTCGCTGTGGCTCTAGGGAAGGACTACAAGTGAGTTTAAGTAGATACAGTAAAACAGGCTTAAATGTACATAATATTCCCCTATGGATGTGTGTGAGAAGCAATGCTCCTGATTCATCAAACCCAATAAATCAAAGCTGCATTCCTCCAAAGTGCAAGAAACTAGAGGTTAAGGAACCAAGGGGGGAAATTTTAGGTTCCTACTGAACTCAAAGGGGATTTGGCACTGACTTCTATAGGAAATGTCTTCAGTTCTTGTAGTGAGCTCTAACTGAAACTAAGCTTGAAAGATAATCCTTCAGATCCAGTCTAGGAGACCATGTGTGTGGGTGTGCTTACTGCTAACATTTATCACTGTGTGGTGGAGCCCCAGAAGTCTGCTGAAGAGAAAGGCCCTCCTGTTCGAGGCAGGCCACATGTTTTTCCTGGAGAGCAGCAGAGGGATCAATGAAGCCACAGGAGAGCAGACCTACCATGCAGCTGAGCCAGTGAAGCTTGGAGGATGTCCCTTCTCGCAGTCCCTTTCACAAGTTCCCCTGTTTGGAGCCATGTGTGGTCCAGCCCTGACCTCAGTCCCCAGTACAGCATTACTTGATTGGTTAAAAAGACTTGTTTTGGGCAAGAGCCCTGGCAGTTCCTTTCTCACAACAAGCAGTTTCCTTACCTTCTTCTCTCAAAATGTATCGAACCAATTGTCGAGTACTTAAAAATATCTACCTGGAATGCAGTGTATTTGTTCAATAAATCTCTACCTTTTCTGTGAGCAAAAATTAACATCATTAATCCCACTTTACAAGCTAGGAAGCTGAAACACAAAGAGGAAAAATAATGTAACAGAGAGAGAGCATGAGATACAACCAGGCTCCTGGTGTTCAGCACAAGTCACGCAGCTGGAGGCTATCTAAGTGGCCAGAGCTCTGCTCACCAACATCACTCTTCCAAAACAGTTGACCTTACATCTCGGGATGGATTAGAAAAATAAAGCATAGATATCAAAGGCTAAACTCCAGCCTCATTCAAACACATTCAATTGAGTGTTCATGCAACAGAGGTTAACACTTGCAATGATTTTTATGGGCAATATTTTTTACCATAGGATTTGTGGCAGACAAAGGCATGACTTCTCAAGCAGTTTCAATAATTGTGTTATATTTAACAGTACCAAATAAAAACACAGCAGTTGGATAAATATTATATTTGTGTTTTATTCCATAAATAAATTCCATTGGTTTGTAAGCTGCTTGTTTTTACTTCCAAAATGTACAAATAACGATTTAAATATTTTTGGAGGAAACACTTGCAGATGGTTTTAGTTCTGCAGTTTTGATGCAAACATACTTCTTGGCACTGCTTCTTAATATGCCATTTCTATAAATACTTAATGCTCACAGAAGTGGAGTAAAATACATATTACAATGAAAAACATGAAAAACAGTTAAAACCAAATTTTAAGTATCGCCTTTAAACAGGTAAACTTGCTATGCAGATTCACTACATAAACAGGAATAGAGTTCTTCAGAGAGATGAAATATTGGTCCCTTTTGGTATGTTAAGTATTAATGTGAAACTGCTGCTGCTATGATTATGTGGTAATGCTATTTCAGCTAGTTTCTAAACATAACAAATAATGATATTCATTTTTCTTTAGTTTGAGGATTTAACTCACAGGAAATCAATTAATAGAACACTTCAGAGAAATAAGTTTCCCAGGTCTTATAAACCCAGTTCTATTGCTACACAGATGTAGACTTTTAAAAAGATTAAGATAAACAATACCACTGTAATTCAGTATTTGCATTAAAAATTCTTAAAATTATTTCCTCTGGGTAAACTGACCATAAGTTGATGCTCTCAAACAGCTGAGCTCCCTTTTAGACCACATTTTGCTTGCTTGAAAGTTGCCTTAAAATTTCAATTGAAATACAAATGATCTTTCTTTTTATAAAGAGCCAAAGATAAGAAAAATACCTCCAGGTAATTAAGATAACAGTAACTTTTATGGCTTATCTAGCAGTCAAAGGCATTTGAGATCCAATTAGGATGATCGGCAAAAGAATCCTTTGTCACTCAGTGTTTCTTTGAAGGAGCTGGTCCAGTAATTGCTAGGAAAAAAAACAATGCAAAACAACCTTAAGATAGTGTTAAACTACATGAGGTGGAAACAGCTGTAGAAACCTGAGCAATGCTGTGAGATGATACAAGCCTCCTTAGATCTCAAATCTTTAAAAAAAATAAAGAAAGAAAGAAAGAAAAGGGAAAAAAAAAAAAAAAGCATTGTAAGCTTTTCCAGCTTGGACAGGAACAGTGTGATTAGATGGAGGAGTAGAGCATTTAAGGAAAAATTGTTACATGTAGATGACACGGAGCAGGATTACCTGGCAGTGCATCAGATCTCCATGTAGGTTAACTGCACTAAGGCAGATTTCTGCCAGGACAAATTACTAATTTTTAAAATATAAAGTATTGGGTGCTTATTCTGACATGAGGTTCATCTGTCAATTCCAAGGCCGAGGAAGTGCCCAATCCCAAGGATAAGATTTGAACAACATCCTTTGCTCTCAGAGTTTGCACATGATAGCAGAGGCTCCCCAGGGCGCTATGTCCTTGGGCCGGTGTGAACACAGGTATCTGCCTCTCCTGCCAGCACCCGCTACAGGGCTAGAGAGAAGAAAACTAGAAAACTTCTTTGCTAGAGAGAAGAAAACAAGCTAATCACTGCAAAACCACAGGGCCTGGTGTCTGAGCATCCTACATCTCACTGTTCCTTCTCTGCCTCATAGGGGTGCTGAGGGCCCAGGAGGATGATAGCGAAGAGAATTGCACAAATACTGATAATAAAGCCACAAATAGATTTAATTACAGACTAGTGGTCAGACACTCATATTTTAAAGCAGCAAGAAGGATTACAGAGCTGTGCTTTGCATTCACAATAAATCATTACCTTTTTGAAGATCTCCACACGCAATCTATTACTCTGGATGATTATCCGCTTCTGTTTTTCTTCTTGTTTCTTTTTTACTTCGGGTAAATTGTCATAAATCCTGGAATGAATTTGGAAAGTTAACTTCACATGTCATCCCTGGGACTTGCAAATGACTTATTCTTCTATTGGAAATGTATGCCTCCAATGCAATACTTGGCATTAATGGGCATCTCTGAGTATTTGAATTAGATCCATGGCACCAGAATTATAAATTATTAATAATAATGTTATTAAAAGCATCTGAATTCTTTAAAAACTGTGCTGATTTTGAGCTAAGGAGTAAAGAAAGATGGGATCAGGTTATCTCATGGCAGCAGCATAATTCTGGGGAAGCTTCTAATGAGCTCAGTGCAAGTGGTTTTGATTTCAAAACAGAATTTGGCCTGTACGCTTTTTTTTTTCTTTTCTTTTTTTTTTTTCCTTTTTTTTTTTTTTTCATTTATGTCACAAAATTAATACTGAGCAATTATTTTCAGGCATTTCTCTGAAATCTAAGAAAACCATCCATAGAAGACTGTAATCTGTTGATATTTTTTCACTGTCACTAGGACCTCTTTTATCAAAAAAAAAAAAAAAAGACATTATTTGCCCTTTTTAAATATTACAGGAGTTGCCCTCAAAAAGGTTACTTCTGGTCTGATCTTTTCCCATTGAAAACAATGACAAAATTCCCACTGGATCAAAAAGGAAGGAGCCCCTTCTCTCAGGGATGTCTCTTGCAGGGTATGGGCACTCTGTGTTGTCTGAAACTCCTAGGAAGACACTGCTTAAAGGGCAGGCTTGGCCCAAATAGATCAAACTGATGCAAATGAATAAAAACTTGAGCATTGCGCGAAAAGACAGCAAAGAAGTATGACGGACCAGCCCCAGTGTATGAAGGTGATGTGGAAATACCTTTTGGATCTCATGTGCATCTCTTTCTCTGGAATGAATCTTTCCTTTGGTTTGAAGAGGTTATCTAGCAGAGGGAAAATAAAGTTAATATTAGATGAATCTGTGTTTACTGAAATTTCAAGCTTCACTTTCCGCTTAGTCATGCTATGGTATTCCTGATTAAACTTCCGATGACTTGAGGTCAGATCTGCATAGGTCAATAGAAAGGCTTTTAACAACTTCATCTGGAGCTCAGTTGGGTCCCAAAGCTGCCATCCGGAAAGGGAAAGACATTTATTTTAAATGTATCCGACTCTCGTCATTGCCACACGCAGCTGTGTAGGCCTCTGCTCAGCCCAGCGCCGGCTGCCAGCAGGGCTGCAGCAGGTGAGGCCCATGCTGCAGGCCATGTCCCCAGCCGCCGTGCGTCAGGATCCTGGCTTGGCACCATCCTTTCCACTTCGATTTACACCTATTTTACAGGGCTGCGAGTAATTATGCTGCATGCTAGGGGGAGGAAAATTGTATTACTCTTTGCTGATCAACTATGAGGATATCGGAGATAATTTCAGTCAACGTTTCCCTTGATACAGGAAAATAATTACTGATCTTCATAGTCAGTGGGTCCCAGGAATAGGTAATTTTAACACCTTGCTTGCTAAAATGGTCTCCGAATAATTTTTGCATGTCATTTGTACAGGGTGGGCAGCCAGGAGGCACGGAGGACAGGGTGCAGTGCCCTGAGTAGTCACATTAAGCTGGAAGTCAGAGGAATTTGCAAGTGCTTTTGCAGAACATATGTATAAGATAAATGTGTGCAAACTTTTAAGCACTTCCATTTGCCAAGGAAGTTTAGAAGACATAATATATATCACAGCAGGCACCGCGTCAGCCTCTTTCTGCCATCTCACTGAAGAGACAAAATAGAATAATCAAGACAAGGAAACAAATACAGCGAATAATTTGTTCCAGAACTGCCCAGTTCAGACGCTGGCCCGGAGCAAACCCAGCCGCCACTACCCAAAAAAGCCCCCTTCCCAACAGGTTTGTGGGGCACGCTGTTGAAGACACCAAATGTTTCAGGGATATTTATGGGAGTTGTCGTAGCAACCTAACAGCCTCCAGCAGCTTACGGGGCTACACCCAGAGGCAAAACCGTGCTCAGATTACCGCCTTGCTCGGGAAAACGCTGCGTGCCCTTGAAGCTGCTGTATCTCCACTGTAAAAATAAAAGGGAGCTATGCAGCAGTTTCTATTCTAACCTGGTACTGCTTTCAAAATGCAAATTGTGAAAGGAGAGGAGGCCGTGAAGCTTCCTCTGCCCTACGAATAACTTTTCTCCACTCAGTGCTTATCTAGGCTTAATAATTATTATTACATCTTCAGTAGACACAAGCAACATACTCGATTTACTGGAAAAATATAATTTGACTTTTTTAATTAGTGTTTTAATGTTCATTTACATGCTCATTAATTGAAAAGGAATAAACACTTGGGTGCTCTAGCTACCCAAATAATCCTAATGCTTCATAAAGCAGATTGCCTCTGTGACCCTGCAGAAGGATTAGGGACCAACAACACCATCCTGCTGGGATCAGTGCAGTTCCCAGCACATGGTTGCAAACCTCATCTGACTGGTCATGGTTGCAGGACACATCCCTTCCCCAAGGAATAGTCCTCTAACCTGGACAATGGCACAGGACCACAGTCTGAAATCATATAAAACCATCACCATGGGTTCTCTGCAGCACTGAAACAAAAATAGGAGATGCTTGGGCAGTCCCTGGTGTGACCAACATTTCCTTGGCTGTTCCTATGTCTTTGGGCGCAGCAGAAACCTGCACAGCCCACACCACATTAACGACACTTCCACATTAACGAATCTTCCAGATCTTTATGCAGAGCCACTGGAACCTGTGAGAATAATTCTCTCTGGATGACACAGAAATCATCTTGAAGGGTATCAGGCTCATCACTGCCCATGATTCGACCTGGAATCTATATGTGTCTGTGCCAGAGGCTTTGAAGGAGGAATCAAAAAGAGATTCTTGGGAAAATCCTCCAAGAAAAATAATAAATCTGCCTTGGTTATAAATATACCCTTCGTGAAGCGAAGCAGTACAAGGTCAAAAGGGTAACACTTATATAGGTAAACACTCATGTAGTATCTCTCAGCTTGCTCTCAGGTCACTATGTCTGAGAAAAAAATCATGTATAAGTATCAAGCAAATAATGTTCTTGAGGAATTTTGGGATGAGAATTCTAAAATTAACTGAAATATAAATAAAAAATGTTTTAAATTAGAAAATTAACCAATGTTTAAACATG